AATTTATTACGCAAAAACACAAGCAATGAAAACAGAATAAAATCCTGGGTCATCACCTTCCGAAGCAGTCGTGGTCGTTGAATAACGCCAGTAATTGCTCAATTCAGTGCCAGCATGAAGCCAAGATAATGGGTATTAACAGAATAATCTATCTCCAATGGTTCTTCATAACTTCCATTTATCAGTAATTCAGAGCATAACAGATCTAATATACGGTCCTGTTCTCACCAGTGTTGTTACCGATGTCGAATTGATCGTGGAAATGTCGTTCAACATCGAAATACGATCACCATCAGTAAACGTTAAAATATTGCTTCAATCGCCCATTTCGAGCCTGATTTACGCGTCATATTTCAACGTCGAAAATCAAATCGCGTTGATACCGATGATTGCGTCGGAACCGTCCATGTTTCGAATGTTTTATCGTCGATACCGTCCCGTAGTCGCATGATTTTGTTACGTTTTTCCAGACGAAGTTCATCAAACACGAAGCGTTGTAACATTGTGAATGGAAGTTCATCTCAATCAATACATACCGTGCTATCATCGACGTCAGAGAATTGAAACATAAAGCATTGAGTTCACAGACCATATCTTTATCACTACTATGTACCATTGTTAATGCTCGTCAAAACCATACCAAAGCGCCGTCAGACCAATCGGTCATATAACTCATTTCAATGCCGTTTTAATGACCGTATGCGTGACCACGGTATGGATGCTCAACAATTGAAGCCTTCGATTCGAAATCCAATGCCTTATTTCCAGTCGTAAACCAAATTCCAGCGAATATTGTTAGACGATCCGCAAGATTTTCAAAGTTCGTTGATATTGTCTCACGGCTGGTGAAAGTTGTCACGAAAATCGCCAATCATCATCAGCAAATCGAAAAATACGCGTTTCGGACTACTACGACCGGGTGATCAATATCAACAAAAACCGATTAGTTTTGGGGTTACCTAACATGGGGCCGTTGGGGCCGTTTACGGGTTATTTCAGCCAAACATTAAATGCTCAGTTATGCCTGAGTGAATGGACGCGAGTCAATATTATGATATATTGTATCGCATCCAGTATGGAGAACGCGAAAGTTATTGGCACGCAACAAGTATTGAGTGAACGCGTGAGCGAGATGTGGCACCGCATTCACGACACCGAGCCGTAGAGATAATAAAAACCGTACCAGCATGGAAGTAGAAAGCGAAAGTTAAGATTCGGTAATGCATCCAGCGCGGAGAAGCGCAGCTGGCTGGCACGCATTCAGCATGGAGAAAGTGACAGATCTGGTACCGCACGCATGGAGGAACGCGGCTGCGATTCGGTTCAATCCGGTACGGAAGAGTATATGAAAGGAGTTATTTCAATATTGGTATGGGATGAAGGCGAAGCCGAAGAAATAATTTCAGCAGTTCAACTCTTCCACACGGTTGTTAATGAGCACAGATTGTTCTGTTTTTCATCGCTATGGATGACATTATGCGACGCTTAACATCCCCAAGATGTACATTGTGTTCGTAAGATCAGAGCCCTGACGAAGCCGGGCTTCAGTATATCAACATTACTTTGCAAAACCGGTAAACCGAGCGTTAAGCCGTTCAAGCATCAGCATACGCTCGAATAATAACGCCGACTTGCCAGTTCGAAAACAAACGAAAGGGTTCTGAGAGAACAGCGCGTTCCTTAAAGTCGCGAATCGCCGTAACATTTAACAAACATGATGACGCAAGCACCGTACTTAAAGAAACCACGGTTACTAGTCGCGATGGTTCACCGTCAGCTCATCGAGAAGTCCGTCATTGTCCGGTATTGCGTCCGCCTTGTCAGTCATTCGTAACTCATGCCGACGGTTCATTTAGCAAATACGGTCTTTGCAGCCGATTTCACAATCTGGTCGCGTTGAGTTAATCGAGTGTCAATTTTACCGTTGCCTGAGATACACCAACAATGCCGGTTGTGGTGCCCACGATAACCGCCAGTAGTTGTTCAACGACAAGTCCACCTGGCTGCTTCAAAAGCAGTATAACAATGAATATACCTTAAACACGTTCGACACTACCCGGCGATTGCGGCACGGGGATAGAGTTATCAATCAATATCAGTCATTGAAGTCAAAGCCGCAAGTGGCTCGTCCCGAAGTCATCAGGGTATTCTCGCAAACGTTTGTTACTTCGATCACGACACTACGGGAGAACTGAACTCCGGATCAACAACTCCCTCCAATTTCGAAACAGCCTAAAAAGACAGAACATGGGTCATATTCTAAACACTGCCTGGGACTTCACTCCCGCTGTTTCATGCATACCAAAAGCTGCTCAAAGAAAGAAACCACCGTCGAATGTTCCGCACCCTAAACTCCACAGTTAAGCGAAGCTGTTCCACCAAATACCTCCAGTGGAACAATGAAAATGAACACCTGGAGCAACAGATACAAATAGCAGATCACAGCCTTCGGCATCCGTGCCTCTGCAATATGAATTTACCGCTCGTAATGAAGCCGATTACGGACTGGATACCAGTTCAACCACGTGACGATGCATTGCCGACCGCGGCCGGGTCGGTCTGACCGGCGGATGTTGCAGACGCCAGACCAGCAAGACATTCATATTGCCTACGCATTCTTCATTATTTGTGACGGGAATTACAGACGTCGTTCACAAATGAACCCGAACTAACATGGCAGTAAGGTCATTCATTCGGGCCCATTACGGCGGTTCTCAAACATTGAAGTTAATTACCTGGCCGTCAATTCCCATCTTTACCGTCAAGTCAGCGCACGACGAAGGCAAAGACCACCAGCACAATGAGAACGGCGATGCTGTCCGGTTTCAGCTATCGTCATTACTTATGTTGCCATCAAGAAGAGCACAGCAACTGATCACGGTTGTAGCAGCTCGAAAGAGTTAGTGCCGCACACCAGTATCTTACATACCATCATTGCACGTCAGCAAGAAGGACCCGATGCCGATACCAGAAAGAACGAACATGTTTGAGCACACTACCTCGCTTCATACCGCAGGTAAACCTCGATCAAATTCGCCCGTACTGTTTTGACGACGGTCAAAAGACTTCGAAATGGCAATGAAAAGGCATAATGTCACCAGCCGTATTGCTCGATCAAAAACATGGAAAGGTTAACTTCGGGATATTTCCTCAGAGTCGTAAAGGAAAGTGATAATAATACCGAAAGCACATCGAACAGACCAGCTCCCCATATTTGCCCAACAATGGCGAAGAGTTATGAAATGGTGGACGGCACAACCAATCGTTGCGACACTGGTCATTTTCTCTGCCCGTCGCTCTTTTCACAATGACGAAACATCAGCACTTTGAAAGAGCGAGATTACCGAAAGGACGTCGGTAAAATTTGTACCGTGACTATGTCCGTAAACAGTAATAAATTATCAGTATCACCGATAGCAGATTTAAACCAGTACGTAACTAACAGCAGTTATCACTGGCTGGTATGATATAAAGGATCGCAGTCGAAAGCCAGATCAACATTCCAGTAAATGGGCACTGAACAATTGTTTGAGAGAGGTCAGTCATTTTACGACAATTAAATAATCCGTCATATGGCGCCACAAACAATCTCAGCGGTCAATGATATCCTTCAAGAGTACGAAGGTTATGTACCAAATATTGTCAATCAATTTACCAGTTGAAAAACAACATTAAATAAAAGCGAACCAATCATTAGTATCCATCATTATCGTTAACTGAAATATCTCTCGTCATTTAAAAGACAATACCGACGTTTGAATCGAAGATAATCAGTGGGAACCGGAGTTATTTATGAAAACACTGCCGACCATACGACAGCATTTGAGCGAAGCGAGCAGCATTAAAGTTTACGCCGCTAACTCGGCACAGTTCCAGTTAAAGCGTGTTAGTGGTTTTGCATCGAAAGCTCGGACCATTGTGCGATCATCAGCATGAGCACCGATTACATTTCGCCAAAGTCGTAAAGCTCGACCACCTTCGAGCCGGTCGTCGCTATGGGTTGAAGGCAATAACCCGGACATCATTGGCCTGATCTGTTGAACACCCGTATATAATATTTGCAGCCGTTGTAAAATTCCTTCACGATCGAAAATTAAGGTAAGCCGTTAAAGATGCGCTCTTTCAAATGACGATAGAAACATATCTATTTCCAAGAAAACAACTCATTGTTCGTGCTTATCGGGAAGAGTAAATATCGATCGAGTCAACAGTTCAAGACGACATTTTGACGCCGAAGATACCTTTCGAGAAATAAGACATATATCTTCAAGTCAGCATAAATACACGACAATAATGGTTACAGATTACCTGGCATACTGGTACCAATATAGTGTTTCGATTCAAACCATGTAAAGCACGAGACAAGTACGAAGCAGTGAGTTTGAGGCACGTTGATGCCGACAGAGGTTGTCACCGAAGATAAAGTTGAGTTGAGTTGAGCTTCCGTTGTTGTACATCGCATACACTCCGCGCCATATAGCGACGAGAACAAGTTTCAGTATTAGTAAACATTGTAAAGGTACGGGAATAAGCGACATATTGATACTGGCACTATAAGCAAATATAATTTCAGCAGTTGTTAGTCAATACTGGAAGATTTCGTCATAATTTATGATACAGACGACTTCCTCAGGTAAACACGAGAGAAGCGTCAACGGGTCTTTGCCTGTTGGTATGAAAGTCCGTGCAGATGAGCAGTCCACGCACCGCTATATCATGCTTGATTATGAAAATTCATCGCAAAGAGCGAATGGGGAACTATCGTCTGTTTTCAGTGAGGTCATGTGTAATGATCAAGTCAATTTATTATCAAAACAATTATCGACGGACAAATTCAGTAATGATTGTTGGTTTTAATTACGTGGAGTTCTCGCTTCGAGTGTCCATCAGGTCTCGAGTATGTTGATATGGGTTACCGTCGGGGATTACAGTGGAGATAGGGGACTTGTCACATTGCGGTTAAAGAGGCTGGTCGCCGATGTATTCGGCACCAGTAGACGATGTATCGCATTGCCAGTAGAAAGCGTCGCTGTAAAGTCGTTCAGGTTGGTGATACTTGAAGTCACATTTTAGTTGAAGGTAGATGAATTCGCGGAATGATTGTTTGAAATGCAGTAACAGCCATTCTCTCAGCCTGGACCTGCTGACCAACAAGCGTTCCATTCCAAAGAAACTCATCGTTTTCACAGATTCTACTATCCTGCCTCTTCAAGCATCTCCCCAAAATGAGCTTCAAGTCACCCAATCATCCTGGACAATATTAGAACTTTACAACGACCTTTCTACTGGCCAATGCGACATCGAAATCCTCTCGTTGGTTTGCGGTCACGTCGGTATAGCAGGTAACAATTAAGGTCGATATGCTGCAACAAAGCAGACTCTTGACAAGTCCCTATCTCCACCGCTAATCCCGTACAGTGATTTCAAACCCACCATCAAAGAAGCTATACTCGGGACCTGATGCAAAAAGTGTGACACTCAAGCAGGAAGGAAACAAACTCCATGAATTAAAGCCAACAACGGTTATGTACCCACTTGGGTTGTCATCAGTCAAGACGTGATGAGGTAATTCTTACGACTTATGTCGTATTGGCCACAGTCGATTTTACACATGACTATCTGTTGAAAACGGATGGTGATGGACCCCACAGGTAATGTCTCTGGTGATGAGGTTTTCTCACCCATCAAGCATATTCTGCTTGAATGCGTAGACTTACTCGTCCTGCAAAAGGACCTCATATTGGCGATGCAACAAACCCAAAAGATCTGTTCGTCCCGCGTGAGCGCTCATCTCATAGTGAATTCTACCTGAAGGGGAAGTTGATCTGGCATCACAAATTGTAACGCTGCGAAATGTAACAACTAGATAAATTGTACCCTATGAAATGCGACTAACAAATTGCCTGCCCTTTAAATTTAGATGCTATGACTTTCTTTTGCTTATAAAATGCCAAGTGTACCAATCAATATATGTCCTTGAAATAAACTCCATTCCGTAGGTATACTTACAATGTTTACTAATGCAAACTTGTTCTCGCCACTATATGGCGGGAATAATGCCGATGTGACGTAAAGGCCAACTCAACTCAGCTCAACTATCTTGGTGGCACAAGTAGCCAGCCATCTTGTCCGGCGCATGTGTGGACATCATGTTGCCTCAAACTCCTGCACTTCATGCTTATCTCGCATGCTTTACATGAGTTTGAATCAAAACACTATATTAGTACCACATTATACCGCCAATAATCTGCTAATATTTGTCAGTAAATGTATTTATACAACGAAGAACAATATATGTCTATTTCTCAAAAACAATGTTCATTTCTAGCGTCAAAATGTCATCTTGGTTTGTTGGCCTGGTCGATCATGCTACCTGTTCTCTCCCAACAGTATCGACTTCGCTGGAGCCAATGTAGGTTGTTCATGTTTTCTTAAATAGATATGTTTCCTATCGTCATTTGAAAGAGCACATCTTTGCTTCAACCTACATAGATTTTTCAATCGTAGGAGGACACATTACACAGCAACAAATGTGATTATATACATAAGGTGTGGACATATTATGTGATTCAAATACGTCAAAGACCCGTGATGGTCCGGGTTAGAATGTGCCTTCAGTAACCCATGCTTGACTTGAGAGGCGACCAGCGGGATCGGGTGGTCAGGGCTTGCTGACTTGGCTGAAATATGTAATCGGTTCCCAATTGCACAGATCGATGCTCATGCTGTTGATCACTGGATTGTCTGGTCCAGACTCGATTATTTACAAACCACTGCCATATAGCTGGAATATTGCTTGAGTGCGGCGTAAAACTAATCTCACTCACTCACTCAAATACTTTAATCGTATGGGTCAGCAGTGACATATATGCTCAGTTCCCCTTGGAGTTATCTTTGATTTCAAACGTCGGTGGTGATCTTTAAATGACAAGAGATTGATATTTCGATTAACATTAATGATGGATACTTTATAATATGATTAGTTCACTTTTATTTAATGGTTGTTTCAAGCAAACTAAATTGAATGACAAATATTTGAATACATATTGCATCTGTTATAAATCGGAAGGATATCATTATTCACTGAGATTGTTTCGTGGCCATGACATTGACGGGGATATTTATAAGTATCGTAAAATGACTGGCCTCTCTCTCAAACCCAATTTGTTAGTGCCCATTTTACTGGAATGGTGATCTACCTTCAGCTGCTGGTCCTCAGCCTGTATCATTTCGCACATACCTTAGTAGTGATAACCTTGTTAAGTTGCATGCTAGTTTTAAATCTATATCAGTGATACTGTCCTTGGTTGGCGGGTATTATAACGTTGAAGTTTTTAATGAGTCTTCAAAGTCACGAAATGGCTCAAATACTGCCGACGTCACTTTCAATTTGAAATCACTCACTCACTCAAAAGTGTAATGTTTTATCTACGTCGATTATTGAAAAACGACAGGCGCTTTTAAGTAGAGAAAATGATAGTGTCCCAACTTAATGATTAGTTTGGTGCCGTCCCTTTAGATTTCGTTCTCTTCGCCGATGATTTGAATTTAAATATGGGAGCTGGTCTGATTTCGATGTGAGGATATATGTGCTTTCAATTTGTGTGCCAACTCTCACTTTTCCTTTGACTCTGAGGAAATACTATCCAAAGTTTAACCTTTTCCATGTTTTGATCGAAGCGCAATACGACAGTATTATACCTTTTCAGTCCTTCTGCCGGTTTTTCCGAAGTCGCTTGGCCGTCATCAAAACAAATTACGAAGATAATTTGATCAAGAGTTACCTGCACAGACATGGCAAAGGTAGTGTGCTTCCAAAACTTATGTTGTTCTCTTTCACAAATTATGTTATCAGCCATACAGGTCCTTCTTATGACATTACAATGATGAGTATAAAATACTAGTGTGCAACACTAATAGATTTTCAGGCACCTTTTCTCTGCTGGCAAATTGGTCAGACACTTGTATAGCATTCTGTGTGTAGCAACAATAAATGGCCAACGTAAGATTACAAACAGTTAACATAATCATGATTGTCTCATTGGCATTTTTATGGTGGGTGTTTAGGCGCTACCTTCTACATCGGTGGCACTGACCTGAGAGGAGAGGGAATCTTCACCTGGGAGCGCCCTTTGGCGAAGAAACTAAGATACAAGGGGTGGCAGCCAGGTGAACCTAATAATGACAAGGGTAGAGAACATTGCATGACCATGCGTCCAACAGCTGGGTACAGGTGGAATGATGTACCCTGCCATGACAAGTTCAGGTTCATTTGTGAACGACGTCATTAACAATTCCGTCACAAATGTAAGAAGAATATGCAATGACAATACTAGTGTCTTGCTGAATACAAACGTCTAACATCCACCAGTGTGTTGTTATTTTTCTTTTGAGGATGTCAACATGCATCGTCACGTGGTTAGAGATTAGTATAGTCCATATCTGGCAACTGTTACAAACAGTAAATTCATAATACAGAAACTGGGTCTGAAACATGATCTATAGCTGTATCCTGGTTGCTCCAGGTGACACTTCACTCATTTTCAACATTGTTTCCCACTGGAACTGTTTAGGTAGATGGAACGCTCACTTAACTGTGGAGTTTAAATTGAAAATTTGCGGAACATTCGAGCTTTGAACGTTTCTTTCTTTGGAGGCATTACTAAGGAAGGCACGACGTAGAGGTTATAAGCTTTTAATTTATACATAAAGAGTATAGGAGTAAAGAGTCCAAACAGGTGTTTAGAATATTATGTTCTATCTTTTAAACATATTTTCAAAAGTAGGAGGAGTTGTTGAGCTTTCCAGGTTCCGAGTTCTCAACAATAAAGTATGAAAAGTGTCGATGATCAAGTAATAAACGTTTGAGATACCCTGATAATAATGGGACAAGCCACCTGGCGTAACTTGGTCCAAATCGATCGCCCAATGACAATGTGAGTTGTCACTCTATCCCCGTGCACACGAATCACCAGGTGGAATATGTCAGACGTGTTTAAGGTTGACTCTATATTTCATTATTCTCTACTTTTAAACAATATGTTGGACTTGTGTTGAACAACCTGAAGCTGGTTATCGTTATTATGTTTCCCAAGAACGCTTTACCAACCTATTATAGCAATCAAATTTCAACATTGTTGAAAGTGTATCTCAAATCAACAGTAAATTGACCTCAGTCTTCAGTATTGACACTTGCAGTTGGTATGTACATTAAGATTGTAGAAATCAATAAGGTTATTATTTACTAAATAAAAGACAATAAATCACTAAAGCATAGTAAAATAACAGATTACAGATAATGACTAACCATAAAATGAGATTTCACAATACGGACCAATATAAAACGGGCTACAGATCAATGGAAACTGACGGTAGACCATCACGATAAGTAACCATGGTTTCTTTTGGTAGTACAGTGCCCATCATCATGTTTACATTCACATGTTACAACGATTCGCGACTAAGGGGAACGCACTTGTTGTCTCAAGTACTTCGTTTGTTTTCAGACAACTTAAAGTCAGCGTTGATATTCAAGCGCCTTCTGCTTGAATGCTTAGACAACTAACACTCAGTTTACCAGTTTTACCCAAAATAATGTGAAATACACAAGTAACTTTAACCTCATCAAACTGCCTGTTTCATGTCTACAGACACAAAATGTATCTTAAGGGATGTTAAAAGCATGGTCGCACTGGCTATTCATCCCACATAAAGCTGACACGCGGTGAAAAAACAGAACAACTGTCTAATACTCATTAAACTTAACCATTCATCATAATGGAAAGAGTTGGACTGCTTTAAATTCTTCTTCAGCTTCACACCTTCATCCATACCTGTGTGACTAAAAATAATAACTCACTCACTCTCTCTTCCATACTGGATGCAGAACCAGATCTGCTTCACGTTCCTCCATACTGGATGCAGTACCAGATCTGCTTCACTTTCCTCCATACTGGATGCAGTACCAGATCTGCTTCACTTTCCTCCACACTGGATGCAGTACCAGATCTGCTTCACTTTCCTCCATACTGGATACAGTACAATATCTCCTACAGCAACCTCCGTAGTGATCATGAATGCAGTGCCACATCTCATACACGTTCCTCAATACCTGTTGCAGTACCAGATCTCTTTCACGTTCCTCCATACTGGATGCAGTACAATATATCCTGTATTAACCTCCGCAGTGAATGCAATGCCTGATCTCCTACACGTTCCTCCAAACGGGTTATAGCTGAAACGGCCCCAAGTCGAAACGGCCCCAAATGTTTTGGCTGAAATGGCCCCATGGCTAAACGGCCCCAAGTTAAAACGGCCCCATATTTGCCAAAATGGCCCCAAAATAATCAGTTTTGTTCCAATGTGTGTCCTTAGTCATAAATGATAGATCAAAACGCATATTTTTCAATTACTTATTAAATGAATTAACTTTGACATTTTCATCATGATTTTCTTCTGTTTAAATGACCATGAGGCCAATAATACATGTGGAAGATATGAATCAAACGAACTGAAAAATGTACGGATCGTCTAACAATATTCACTAGAATTTAAGTTTGACAAATAAAACATTAGATTTCCGAATCAGAATTCAAATTGTTAAAAACACATCCATACCATGAAGTCACACATACAGTCATTAAAACAACATTGAAGTAGCAGTTACTCTGTCGAGTGAATCCTGACAGCGCTGGTGTTTTGACAAACATTAGCAATAGTACATAAATGAAAATGATAAAATATAAGTCTATGAACTCAATGCTATGGCATAGTGTTCTCTGTGTCAATGATATACAGTATGTATTGATTGGGATAGATGGTTACTGTACATTCACAATGACACAACGCTGTGTGGTTTGCAATAAGACCGTCTGGAAAAAAACATGCTCTAAAAATCTATGCAACTACAAGGACAGTTACTTCAACGTAAACATTCAAAGCAATGGACAGTTTCAACACAACTCCATATGAAATGTACAGTTTGATTTTTCGACGTTAACTGAAAAATACTGACGCATTAAATCTTAAACTCTAAATAAAGACATTAAACAACTATTTTTAAGAAAAAGTCTTGTTTGCTGATGAGGTTGTCATATTTCGTGTTGAAACGATCATTTCCCGCGATCTTGATTCGACATCAGGAGGGTGCCCTCGCTTAACACACAATTGAAACAGAGACCATATAATAAATCTATTATATGGTCTCTGATTGCAATAAATAGAGAGGGTGTCAAGCAATTACTGAAAGAACCATTGGAAGTGTATTGTCTGTGTCGTTATTCTATTTAATACCCATTATGTAACTTCATATAACACTAAAATTGAAAACAAATACATGGTTAAGCACGTTAATGGTACTGCTGTGTGTGCTGCAAGGAGAGTATTGTTAGGATTTTATTCTGTTTTCAATATATGTTACATGTCAATTTGAAATGCTCAAGTATATTTCACGTCTTTTTGCAATTGTACGGGGTCATTTCAAGCAATGTCTGGCTGTTTTCACTTAGCAACATCGGGGCCGTTTTGCACAGGGGCCGTATTAGCCAATTTGGGGCCGTTTGAGCCAAGCAAAATTGGGGCCGTTTTGCAATGGGGCCGTTTTAGCCTGATAGCCCTCAGGTACAACTAGATGCAGTACCAGATCTCATACACGTTCCTCCTTACTAGATGTCTGACTGACTGACTGAGTTTAGTTTTACGCCGCTTTTAGCAATATTCCAGCAATATCATGGCGGGGACACCAGAAATGGGCTTAACACATTGTGCCCATGTGGGGAATCGAACCTGGCCTTCGGCGTGACGAGCCAACGCTTTAACCACTAGGCTACCCCACCGCCCCTTACTGGATGTACTACAATATGTCCCACAGTAGCCCCCTATTGAATGCAGAATCCAGATCGCATACACGTTCCTCCATACTGGATGCAGTAGAATATCTCCTATATTAACCTCCGTATTGAATGCAGTACCAGATCTCATACACGTTCCTCCTTAATAGATGCACTGCAATATGTTCTACAGTAGCCCCTGTATTGAATGCAGTATCCAGATCTCAAACACGTTCCTCCATACTGGATGCAGTAGAATATATCCTATATTAACCTCCGCAGTGAATAGTGAATGCAGTACCAGATCTCCTACACGTTCCCCATACTTGGTGCACTACCAGATTTCCTTCACGCTTCTCAATACTAGATACAGTGACAGATCTCCTGCACCGTCCTCCATTTCTCAAAACAAATCGCCTTTACTGAGCTCTAGAAGGCTGTAAGGCTGCTACATTAAATGACGAAGCAGATACTGTCAATATTTGTTTGAAATTGTACTTTCGTGTAACCTTAATGCCATACCCCAGATGGAAATTCAAAATGAATACGCAGCATAAAATATGAATGACCTGCCAGAAATCAGACTGAAATATCCCCGGAGATTTGAAATATAAACTCAATGTTAAGATTAAAGTTCATTTGCTACCTGCCGCTGAGATATAATATTATTGTTTTGAAACTCGTAGCGATTTATATATTTCTTAAATATGTTGGAAAGCGCACGTACAATCTCCAAAACAAGCCCGCAAGATCGTCAGAAATACGTTTAGTTGAACTCAATGGGGCAGTTATGTGAACAAACGCACGTGCGTGTATTTGAATCTCTCATCGTTAATGTCATTATCCTTACTGAAAACTATACACGAGGCACAATAATCTTTTTCTACGTTCTTTGTTCTGTCAATATGACAATGTATACTAGGCGTCATTAATAAAGGATCAAGTGATATATATATATATATGTAAAAAAGTTTCTCAGAAAAAATAGAACTAAGAGTATCATCATAATCTTTAATATGTTGACAAACGTGACACATCGTGACATACAGATAAAACGTTCAAACAGCAAACACTGTAGCAAACATCAGTTGTATAGACCAGCCCTACTAAATGGAAATGACAAACATGAAGCTCTGATTCATTCAATATCTTGTGTACCCTCCTCGTGCGTCCAATACACAAGGTGCACCTTGGTCACATGCTCCTTATCAAGTTCATAACGAAGGCGTGTGGCCACACCATCCGCTCTATACCCTTCTGCTTCATGAATTCCGTGGCCCTATGAGGCCCAGCGTTGTCGTCTTGCAGTTAAGAGGGTCGACCACAACAGCCATGCATAGCTTGCAGGAATGGTACTGCTATCGGATCCAGAATCTCGTCTAGATAAGGCTACCCTTAATCGTCGACGGACGGTGCTCCTGGATATCCTTACATTGTTCACATAGAAGTGTTCTGTCTGAAGATCTGCTGTGTTACGAAATCTGTTACGTAACACAGTGCTATTCATCTGCCTTTCATCTCGGACTGTTGTAACTCTGA